AATTGGTTGTTGGGGGGCTGTACACTGCTTTCGAGCCCCGGGGCTTCGTTTACTATTTACAAAATTCGTCATGTCTGTGCGGGGCACGTTGTGGCAAAATAGAGATCGGATACCAGGTAGTGCCACAGAGATGCTTCTAGGGGCCAATGGGGAAGCTTTGATGTTTTTTTGGATCAACTAATCCTGGTTAATGGGCGTTTTCTCTCTATTGTAACTTCGCCGGAACACCAAAGCAATAAATTCGCACGCAATCCAGTACCGTACCACCCACCGAACATTCGTGGCGATCAAAAAGATTTGCTACACCCCCCCACCCTCCGGGTGCATACGAAGCGAACAAAAAAAAAGTGACTGTGTGGCCATTTGGTGGGCTGATTAATGGGAGTTGGGTGCTGCTGGATGCCACATGTGGGCTTGAAGAAGCACAAAGACTGGACTCTTCTGCTACCACAAATACTGAGCAGCCACCGGCTAGTCGGTGCACGGAGGATTGGAAAGGTCGTAGATTTCGGATTGGACAAATGAGGGAGTGCTGTACGGAATGCTGATGGTTGGATTTTACTAGTTGGTCACGAGGTGGAGGTTAAAGAGGTGCGGAAGCGAAGATTTGGTAGAAAGTCATCAGATATAGACAAAAAATTCGCTCAATAGTTGGAATTCGTTATAATTTGAAAATAGTATTACATTAACATTACACAAACGAGAAAAAGAAAAAGTGTCTAACGATTACAGATGAATTACCGTATAAGGGCTGGAAAAGATAAATGTCCTAAAGTAGGAAATTTCATCACGACTTAAACTATATTAAAGTTCTAAATTAAACTAGCGGAATTTAACGGCTTTTTCTCGCAATCCCTAGATCTGCACCCTGGTTCACGTAAGGCCGCAACAAAATTGGAATACAAAAAAACAGAAATAAAATCGGCGACATGAAAGGCAGCTAGGCCAAAATCGCCAAAATGCAGTTATTGTTAGAACGGAATGACGATCCAAGATCGAAACGGCAACTTTTTGTCCAGTAAATACCATATGACCAATAGCGCCGACCAGTCATACATTTTTAGGGCCCCAGGCACTTTTTTAGGGGTACCGATGAGTAACCGTTGAGGCCCAGTGGCTGACAGAGCCGGCTGGCCGGATGTTGATCCCACCGATGGCAGGGGGCTCGGCTGGTGGTGGATTTTGAGGTTGTTCAGTCATTCGCAGTCACCCCAAACTGTGCACATTGTTTATATGTCCCGCAGGCGGCAGATCCGCCATGGCCAGCCGGGGGCTGTCTCTGGAGAGGGCGTCTTCTGGCGCCAGCCAAGTATTTTTGGCACCGGATGCAATAACAGACAATGAAGAAACGGCTGGGATATGGCTAGGGGTAGTCAGGCAGAAAAATGGGGACATTTAAAGTAGTGGATTTGGTATATTCTTTACAGTTCTGTTAATAGCTAGCTGAAAGGATTTTCAAAACAAGGTTTAGCAATACTTACAAGGAGTCGGTTTAGCCACTTTCGAAATTTTGCGCTGTGATATAGTTGTTTCTATGCAGCTAAAAATCCTAATGAATCGAATTTTGAAAACCCTGCTCTACGATAACGGTCTTTGAAAACAAAGTCGCTCATTTTGTATGCGCATTTAACAACTTTCTCTAACTGCTTCCATCCAGTATTGTTTGAAGTGTAATCCTTTTTCAGAATTCAAAACTCTATTAAAGGAGCTTTCTCACGTCACAAAAATACTATTTCCCGAAAAATAGCTTTCTGTCAGTACCCTTTACCTGTAGCCTACAGTACCCTCAGACATCTACGCCCAAATTCATCTGTCAGAGCCGCCCCGAGTCCAGCCCAACCCCCATTTCCCGCCTGAAATAATCTGCCTACACTTTCACATTACGAAAAAGCCAGCTAGATTCTCCACACGAAAAGCCGCTCAGCCACATCACCCTGAGGGCACACGTGCAATCCGGCAGTCCATAGCCCTCTTCGGCTTTTCCACAACTCTTTCCAATTCGCCCATGCGCTTGCCGTCAGGATGGGCTGTTGAACTTTTTCATAAACAGATGACTAAGCGCTGTAGTCCGCAGTCAAGCTAAAAATGCTTGGAGGGCCCGAAGAGTGGCTTTAGATTGCGGCAGTTTACATTTTTTTTGGGATGCCCTTGTCTTTCGAATTTTTTTGGGAGGAGCACGGGAGTTCGCAACATTCTTTCGGGGTAATAAACAAATGGATTGCGTATGTGGAGTTTTAGGAATGGGCTGCGTGCAAAAATTGGTAAGGCAATTAAAAATACATCCAACTCTCAGCTTTTTATGAAAAGCAAATGGCCTCCGGTCGGGGTCGAACCCGGGCCTTGTGCGCGGCAAGCGAACACAAAACAATGAGCCAACGGTTTGATGCGATATGAGAGGCCCTCTTCCCCCCAGATGGACCTATCCTCGTTTAGGAAACAGATCCCGCTATAGCGCTGACCGATTTCATAAAATTGGGAGGTGATTGTTTCGTTAAGGAGGATACGGTAGCAAGGTTATACTAAATTGTGCTAAATTATACAATCCGTTCCTTTATCTTCACCAAACCCCATCCGGTCAGTCGGTCATTCGGGAAGACGACCCGTTTTTCACATGTCCAGTTGAAATTGGAGATTTGCACAAGCGGGAGTGGGAGGGTAAAGCTGACGTGCCTACACCCATCCATCCGTATGTCCATCCGCTATGCCCCCTTTCAGGCGCGCTAATGGGCCCTAATGTGCCGTTGTGTGGTCCAAGCGATCAGTCAATATTCCTTTGGATCCATGGGCCTTAAGGCCCTGCCTCAATCCACCCGCACTACCCCCCTAGATTGGGGATCTATATCGGAACGGATACGAGAAGAAGGAGCGGCCATACCCTCAGCCATTCCCGCCGCCACTTTTCAGTCGAGACAAATTACACAAAATACGGGCTAGCTAGCGGTCAGCTGGCAGCGGGGCCGTTTGACTGGAGCGGAAACACCACTATATGCCGGGTTGGATTGGAGGAAAGGAAAACAAACCGGGAATTAATTAAATGATTATATTATCAGGGCCCCAATTCATATCGCTTTGTAGGTGATCTGTAATTGATAAAAATATGCAAATGGATCTAAATCTCCCTGAAAACAAAAAGAAAGGTTCTATAATCTTCTAAATAAGCCGGCTTTACTTCGGTAGAATATAATATTTACTAAAAAAGAGCGTGACCTTATTTTTCGACGAAAAAGCTTAGCCAAGGATTTAGAACCAGCGCTCGAAAACGTATTTTTCACAAACCCAATGACTGAGTAGTCATATGGAAATTGCAGATGAAATTTGAGTATAAATAATTATAACAAATTTTTTTATTATTAAAAATCCAACAAAGCGCCTTTATCACTAATTGATTACTTCTGCTTAAATTGTTTTGAAATTAAGATGACTTTGCGTCTAGTGTTCAATTTACTGAACAAAAAGCTGAACGGCTGCAATAGTAGAGTTCAAATATGAGCCGCCTCCCGCGAACGCACAATACAGTAATCCTTACAAATATGAAAATAACCTAATTTACATATTGAAAGAAATGGCATCGATTCCCCTAAACCAGAGTGGGACAGCCATGAAGAAGGGATGCGTTTCGGTCAATCTTGGACGTGGCTTCCCCCCAAATTTGGGGTCAGGTTTCAAATTTCCACCACCAGAAGAAATCCGAGGGGAAGACGGGGGGCTGCAGTCGAATCTCAGAAACAGCCTATATAGTTGCGTGTGACTAATTTGCATAGGGGACGCTGGCAAATGGACGCCTAAAATGAAATTTGAAAAGACTGGTAATTGAATAAAAATCGGTTGAGTTTTCTTCGTTTATGATCCGGGCTTGTCACTGTATGAATGCGTATCCTCAAACTGTGTCTGTTTGCATAGTTTTGAACCATAGTTAATTCGTAGATAGGAAAATAGAAGGTTTATTGTAGCTAAAGCGCATCTGGAAATGGACATCCGAAAATAATGCTGATCACATTTGAATGGCGTTTCGCAAATATAGGTTAATCTTTTGCAAATCGTCAAAAACAAACAGGTTTTAAACGTACAATTGGTTATTGTGGATCTACACACAAAAAGGCGTCGAACCGGAAAGATGGAGATGGAATATTCGGTGTAATTCATTATTCGATACAGTGCTTTTTAGCATATATGAAAATACCATTATATCGTTTATAAAAGTGAGTTTGGCATCCAGAAAGAAGTGGAACTGTCGACACAACGCAAAGAAAATAAAATTGATATGGAGAAGCGGAGCGGAAGAATGCATCGAAAGATGGAGAGATCGTGCTTTTGGTTATATGATAAATTTAGTTCGCCTGCTTTCAAAAATAACCAAAAAACAACACCAACTCCCAGAAACAAAACGCAAAATAAAATTCGAAACGAGGCTTTCCTAACAGTGGCACATCACATTTTTTCAGATAGATGAGGGGCTGATTTAGGAGGTGATTACAAAAAAGTGTGGTGTATTTTGCATAGATTCGTTGAAAAACAGCCTCTCAAATTGTTATCACCCATCAAAATAGATTTCCCTTAATATTGGTGACCCGCAGAAGAGGTGGGGGAGAAAATACTAGGGGAGAGGGAGGGAGAGGGGGTAAGGGAGAGAGAGATATTTAAAACAGCTGCAAAGATAAAAATACGAGGCAGGTGGAAGGGGTAAGGGGTGGGAGGGTAGGGGGGGGTAGAAGTGACTAGGTTTCAACGTTGAACCGCAATGCGCGACCATTTGGTGGGGTTATCATTTTACGGGGGGTAAGGGTGTCTTCAAGTGATACTGATACCCGTGTATTTTGGAATGGTCACGGAACGGGCGAGATGCAGACAAATTCTTACGGACGCTTGCGCACCTGGGAGGTATGAGGCGTAAATATCGCATAGTTTTTAAAAAAATCCCAGGCGTGCTTAGGGCTTGATCAGATGATGATCATGATTGGGACGTCCGGAAGAAACGGCTCAACGTTTGCACTAGTCAGCTACGGCGATTGCTCCGCGCCGTCGAGTTGGTCGACTAAAAATCCTACTATATATAAAAAAATAGTTTCTGTGTGTGTGTGGACACTTTGCATAAAAACCCGGGTTCCAGCCATAACTCGAAGGGAAGCGGATTTTATGGTTCAGAAGTAAAGTGGTTGGGGGTAATCGAGAGCGTAGATTACTGCGCGCTTATCAGATTTTTACTAAAATGACGTTTTATACCTTATTTTAGCGATTTAAAAACATATGGAAATAGACTAATTTGCATACGGAGATTAATTCGGCTCATTCGGGGCTTTGCGGCTTTCCGAGTCGGCTGCTCAAGTAATTCCTGTGGTGCCTTTCCCTAACGCAATTCGCAATATTAATGCAAATTATAATATCCAGTGCCCGCGTATCAAAGGGCCTGCAGAGAGGCCAGGGTTGAAAAGTCGCGAAGCGGCTTTTCAACCCTGGTATCTTTTAAAATTGGATCTAAATTCACCTAAAAGTAAATGATTTTTGCGTTGGGAAAGTTCGGCGTAATTGTTTTTTGTAACGGATTTCTGACAAAAGCATGTTTTTAAATATTCTCAGCGCTTTCAAAAAATAGCAGATTTTTAGACATTTAAACTGGTGAAATTAACATACCCTACGGCCTGAAGCCTGGGGCTGTTCCTCCTGAGTGATCGGGCCCGGATCCTTCCCGGTGACTTTCTGGACAACTTCACGCTCCAGCTGACCGTCACGAAGGAATGCCAACCCTGATACCGGCTCGTCACGGGTGCGCAGCAATTCTGAAATTTTTATCGTAAGCCTCCAATTTAATGCTTTCTTTCAAAATCTCCTTGTAAAACCCACCATGCAAAGCGCCCCAATGCTTCCGGGTATCAACAATTCCCGCATATGTGGTACCCGTCTCGGGGACAGCGCGAGACAGCATCCTAGAATTTTAGATTTCATTCAATAACGAAGCTACGAATATCTACCAGCTTTCAAAACCTACTCATAAACTGGCATCGCCACATTATCCAGGAAATCAATTTGAAGCTGCGGGACGAAGGCACGCTCCCGGTCCATCATTTCCACAGGAGGATCTCCCATTTGTTTCTCGAGGTCCCCTTGCGAGAAGAATTCGCAGTAGACCGATTCCTGAAGAAGGTCCGGGTAAGATTTTGCAGTGTATCAGTTTAAGCTCAATGTTATATTGTCGCAAACCCTTACCGCGATCATCTTGCTATAGTGGAATTCCTTGCTCTGATCCGACAGATCGGAAGCAGTCATCAGGAGGCAGAGGAAGAGGTAGTGATCCTCTTGGCAGTGTCCGTTGAAGCCATCTTAATCGATTGTTTACAATTTGTTATTTGCTACTAACCGGCAATCATACGTCGGATACGATCGACCTTGCTGAGGTGGGCAACGATGTCGGTGGCTAAGATGATGTCGCGGATGTGGGAGAGTACCTGAAAGCAATGAGATTATGCAAATAAGAAAAAAACAATTTCTAAAAAATTTATCATGGTTTTAAAAACAAATTTTACCTGCTGATATTGCTCTTTAGGGAGATGTTCAAGGATATTGCAGTCAGTGATGCCTAGAAGCGAGACGGTCTGAGCGTAGTGGTGACGCTCTAGGACGGATCCCTCACTGCTGTACAACTGAGCGAGAGGGGTTTGCTGAAGAAATTTTATTGGATAAAAGCCGATCTCGGTAAGGTAAGTATGAACCTACTGTGTTTATTAAAACATACCGATTTGATCTGGAAGTTGTTGTTAGTTCCTCGATGGTCAATGTCATGGCACAGGCAAGCAATCAGCAAAGAGAGCTGCTCCAGCTCGTTGAGCGAGTTGCGCACAGAATTTGTGCGCAGTAGCAGGTAGCAGAAGTGGGCCACTAAACCAAATAATGAATTGATGTTATGGGTTATTTAAATACCGGAGAAAGCGTGACTCCAGTTGTGATACGGGACCTCTCGGTAGCCACGGCTGATGCGCAGCAAAAAGTGGGCAAGCCGGTCGCGACGAATGCAATAGCGCTTGATGAAGCCGAGTTCCTAAAAATATATAAAAGTTGGTATTCCTGCTGAGCTCCTCTTTATAATAATGTAACCCTGTAATTTACGCTAAAACTCACATCAAACATGGAGAGGGATGCTCGGACATAAGTCTCGGTATGCCCAATAATTCTCGGGGTAAAGTTGAACTGGTTGAACATCGGATGGTAGGTGATAGGGGGCGCGATTTGTTTCTTCGCCAGGGTGTTCACTTCATCGATGCTTACCTAAAACAATTTGGCTATAGAAATTTAGTACGAGGAATTACCAGGAGGTGCGAGCTTTGGACTAGCAGCTCGGCAGCCATATGAGATCTACGTTGAGCTTCTTGCACTTTTTGGTAGAGCAGGCACTATAAAAAAACACATTTTATAGATTCATCTTGTTTTGTCAATGTGGAAATTTTTAACGGTCATATTTTGGCGAATCACCATATCATAGATACAGCTTATTTAGAAACTTGTGTCAAATTGGTGAAAATTCATTTTTGGCCGAATAAAACAATATACAATTTTTTAAGGAATATAAGATACTTTTTCATAAAAACCAACATGGCTAATACAAGTAGCCGCGTAGACGGCAAACGTTCTTGCGACGGTCTCGTCTTGACGCGTGAATCCGGTGGGCCTGCCGATCTTGTTGCATAGCTCGGCGACCCCGACGAAGGCTCCTGTGAAGAATGGGGCACATTAGCATTTCATAACTGGAACACTCGGGATGGGGACCGGTCGAGTATTCGGATCGCACCAAGAGATAATTTGCATACGGACGGATCCGTGGTAGTGTGGGGGGAACGAAGGGGAGGGGAGACAACTCGCAACCTATCAATGGGGTGGGCGCCTATTTCCCACGAAGAACTGGATCCCGAGGCCCTATCCACACCGACAAACATACAAACAATATTTGTACAGGTGGAAGGAGGACCAGTGGCTGGCGGGAAGTCAAATAGAAAATGTTAATCTTGCTCATACGAGCGCGCGTACACTATCGGGGCGCGCAACTCTGACTTTTAGTGTGACTGCTATTAGTGCGCAAAAAAGGTATGTATCTAAGAGTTGCGGTAATCGTCTTGGCACCATTTTGGGCTGATAGGGGCTTTTCGCACATTAATCGTAGTGAATAGGGGATACTATTCTATAGGAAAGGATTCTATAGGGGATACTAGTGGTACTGTTCTCGACATGATAGAGGATAAGCCTATTTTTCTGAATTTCGCAGACTTTCTGTACTTCTCTACGCGCTTGAAAATTTAAGTTCATGAATTAAATGATTAATTTATGGTTTCAATGAAAAATTGGTAAGCAGCTTAACGTTAATCTATTTAGCGTGATGCTGGGTTTGGGTATATGTGTTAACTAATTAAAATGCCTGATGTTCTTATAATGTCGTGGTACTGCCCCTTTAAATTAGCCTCGCAATCCCGACCAAAAACCCGCGAAATCCGAGTCTAGTTCACGTGGCGCCACCTTTCGTTAACCCGCCGCTTCCATGCACTTTCCATCGGCTCTTGGCCAAAAGCGGAAAGAAAAAGAAGGGGAAGAGATGAATATGCGCATATCAAATGAACCCCTCACGCGTAGTGTTTTTTCGGGTCGTCTAACCGGGTGGGGGGAGGGACGGATAAGAAGAGGGTGGGTGGGTCTGGTTGAGGAGACCGGCGTCAAATTGCCGCGCCACGAACCCCATCGTTTTTGAGGTGGTATCCCGTGGGATCTCGTGCCCATAAAACACACAGCCTGCTACCCCCAGATGTGGACATCTGAATAATTGGCAACCGAGGTCCCTCATTCTTGATGATCGCCCAAGCGATGCTCATAATTTTTGCGGCGGTTTTGCGGGAACCGAAAAACGCACCCAGATTCCAGGGATTTAGACGTATTTTATGTTTCGGGTGGAAGCAGAACCAACCTGAATTATCCCGAATTGGAACGCATAAAATATGGCGTGGCCGAATCCCGGTCAGCTCATCAACCGACGGCAGGAAAAATGGGCACCTACAAGGATTGTATTGATTTCTGAATTCCCATCCCATACCTGGTGACGTTTTTCACATTCATTGTCACGCCGGTGGTGGCCACACGACCGGCAATGCCCTGATCCATGGGAAGACGCAGCTCTTCCAGGTCGTCTTGCTTGTCGATGATTTCGGCGATCAGTTGGTTGTGTTCGGCGTCGATCAGGAACAGGCAGCACCTAGATTAAAATGAATTAACTTTACACTAAATGTTCAAGGCTCAAAAATGCACAGTAAAATTCCGTTCGCCAAACATTCATTACCTGTAAACAATTCGAAAATTCAATAGACAATTTCATTACGCCAAATTTTACTTGAGAATTTTAGCCGGCAAGCTATCAATTCCGGCGTCATAAAAAACTGCATAAAATCTGTGCATTGAATTTCGTCATATTGAAATTTCGGTACATTTGAAATGAAGGTTTAATTAATTAATTTTTCTGACTAATAAGCTTCTGCGCAATGAAACTTCGCTGTCATGGATACCTGAATCTGCATAATGTTGAACGTACCAAACTACACACAGGCCAAAAGAAGCCAAAATATTCAAAAACTCACGCCTCGGCATGGAGAAGACTTTTGGCTTCCTCGGTAATGGAGCGGACAAGGTTGTTCATGTCTTCGCTCTGGCCGAGCAGCCGGTGAAACACCTGCGGGGCACACGTTCGTGGCTGCAGCCGTTCGCTTGGCACCGCGAGATCGTCCTGCAAAAAATCGAATTTTGAAGTGGCTATGAATATTAATGATGGAATTTTGGTCATCGTGACGACAACACACGATCGTTTCAATTTTTGCGCATTTTGCGAAATCAAAGGCGTATTTTATCCTTAAGATACTACTTTATTTGACAATTTCTTGGCACAAGTGATAAATTTTCGGATGATAATTAGTCTGTTATTCCGATCCTGGGTTCATATGCATATCATCACGTTAAATTTAATAGAGACGGATTAAACAGTCGTCTATGTTTCTCTAAAGGGATACGGAAGGCCTGCGTAGATCAGTACCAATCTACAATTGGCAATTTGTTAACCGGAAATGCTAATGCAAAATCCGGGACCGGCAGTAGACCTAAGCGAAAGGTAGCAGAGACGATTTATGCTAACATTAAAGTTAAAGCTTTATTCTTAATTTATCCAGGCTTGCCTGATCCCTTTCAATATTGCTTCTCCAAAAATGCTTGTTGTACCACAACCCATCTTTTAACACACACAATCAAAATTGCAAAAAAAATAAAAAATCAAGCCCAGTAATCCTCACGTATTGTAAAGTCTGAATGAAACCCGGCAAGCCGCGGCCCACGGTGCGGGTATTTTTGAAATTAATAGGTCGTAATTTGAGCGGGGGAGGAGGCCAACCATTATTCTTGAGTCAAACGGGTAATTAATGGGTAGCCAGAATCGGTAAGTCAGAGTGCCCAGGGAGAACGCGGGATAAACAAACGGATGAATGGGGGGAAAAGTGGTGATGCACGATTGAAGGCAGATGGGGGCATTTTTGCAGCAGCCAACGAACTTCGGAACTCTGTAGCTCCTGATGGTCGGTGGGGGTTGACGTCAATACGGTAGAGGGTGAGGGGGTGGGGAGGGTGGATTCTAAGTGCGAACAACAAACAAAATCTCGATATCCCTTCTTTATAGCTCTTTGCAAAGGTTTGATTGGGCGGGCAGTGATCTTTTGATAAGGCTGGACAATAGGCTAGGGTTCATAGAATAAAGAAAGTGCCAGGTAAATATGATCTATGAAGCTTTTTAATCCAGTCAAAAATATAACATAAAGAGATCGATATAAATTGCAAACTACATCCAATATTAAATCCTGAATCTTTAAATAAATAATCTTTCGTTTATGCGAAAAACACTGATTTCTCGTTGCAACAAAAAAAGCTAAATTCATGTGAGCCTCTGAAAAATTGTCAATGCTCGAAATAAAATGCTAGTTTCAAGAAATTTTTCAAAATATTAAGCCACAAATTTACTAAGTTAAAACGTCAAATACACAAAAGCCTAGGCACGGATTGACAAAAATGCAACCTGACAATTTGCACGTAGCCGCCGCATCCCCGGCGGATGCCCCCGGATCGAAATCGCGGCTCGCGCAAAATGTTTGGCGCAATGAAAAGTTCTAAAAACTCGGGGAGCCCGGATGGGAACCTTGGCCAATCGATGGCATCAATCAAGAAAAAAATGGGCGGAGAATGGGCAGATCGCCGGTGAACTGAAGGGGGGAAGAAGATGGCATGGCCGGGTGGGTTGGTTGTTGTGGATTGGAAAAGGGTAGAGCAGAGCTGTTGGGTGCGTAGTTTTCAGATCATCCATATCCGGTTGGTCAAGGACAAAAGGTCGGCCAGTTTAAAAATATCACAAATTTAAGAGGTGTGAATTGAAGATAATGTCATCTCCCTACAGTGCAAAATCCTAGGAATGATTTACAAAACCTCATGGCTCTCAAAAAACGTCATTCCGGTTAGGTGAAGCCTAATAGCTTACAAATATCACCCGGTATTCTCTGCAACGTATCAAGTCAGCTTTTTCGCTGGTGTCCCTAATTTCCGGCTACATTCCGGACGAGAATTTCGGAAGCTTTTTGTGAAATTCCACTGCAGTAGGTTTCACTCGTTTCCAACATTTTTTTACGATTCCATGCATTGAATTTCGCAATTTCAATTTTTTGGACTACCATTAGTCAGCTTTATTTGTTCATGCGCCTACGCTTTTATAACGAAAGTAAATAGGATTAGAAATTGTTAATTGCAATATTCATCGCACTTAATTATCCATTTGTAAAAGGAGCTTTAATATCAATATCTTATTAAAATCTTGGCCCGCCAAAGATAGAAATGTACGGAAGCCCTAGGCATGGCAGAAGCTGATCTCAACACGTACCTTCCTCCGTAGATAGATAGCCGGCATTTTCTCCTTAAATACTAGCAGAAACTAATAAAATTCAAGCGAATACAAATGCCTCTTTCAATGCCGAATACTTAGGCTCGAAATCACGGAATCGATGAGGCCAAATGGGATCTGTAGCGACTCGGCGGTGGGCGTGTCCCGGCCACTAAATCCTGCCTTCCGCTTTCAATTTCTCTTCGGTGCCATAACTACCGTAGCCCAGAAATTACTCTAATTTGGATCTGAGCCCGATTAGCCGCCCCCAGGGATGTCCACCTCACAGAAATTATACTTTTCTGCTTTCTGCGATCGTAAATGAGCTGAAAATAGACGCGGGGAAACAGGTCTGAACAGTCGCATTCCCCAGGGAGCTCGTCAACGCGGCAGGGGGATGCCATTTTGCAGAAATCCCGACTAAAGCCCACGTGCAGGAGTGGCGTTGTCGTTTTTGTGACTACGGCAAGATCAAGCATCAGGGGGGTATGAAATCAGTTTGGGGGGAAAACGTGAGGAAGGGGTTAGCGGAGAAGAAAGGTAAATTGGTCAAAAAAAACTTTCCAGAAAAAAAGGCATTGATTAATGAGAGCCGGATGGGCTGGCCGGCTGGCTCTAGGGCTTATCAGGGGGAAAAGCAAGAGGGGGGGCGAGACGGGAAATGCCCTTGGGTGTCGTGTTGCGAGAAAATAACAACGGTTTTTAGGGATAAGCCATAGGTTAATACGTAGAATCTGACTTTCTATACTTTCATTAAGACATTAAGAAAATTCGTTGAGACTATTCAGAAAGTCTAGACGTTACGCTTGGGAGTAATATGCTAATTAAAATACAAGCCATACTTTATGAACAAGTTAAATTTCTTGTATATATTCTTTGTATGCTAATTATCGTGCTATTTCGAACATTTAGTTGTTTAAGATCTCCAATAGAAAAATGACATTTTTCCGGTTTTTTTAGTCTAATAATAAAATAATTAGAGCAAATTACGTAATGGAAAAGCCGTGATGAAATTCAAGTTCTCCCTAAACCAACAAAAAGTGACCCTCAAGCGCGTGTCGTCATCTTTTGAGTCATATTCGCCGAGTTCACGCCTAATTGCCTACGAAGAATTTGGCGTATCGCGCGGCTTCCGCTTATAACACACAGGCTTCTCCTGCCCCTGCCCAGCCTTTTCAACATATACCCCCGGCCGCCACAATTACACGTGGGAATACCTTTAATAAGGTGTGAAGCCTTGACAATCGGAAAGTAGCAAATTTGATCTTAGAACCGAGTCTACGAATTTTTCTATGCTTTAAAACTTTGGAAAAGCAAGATTTGTCGATAATAACGAAATAGCCTCCCAATCAGCCCAGCCGAATAGTACAAGGTGCTCAACAGTCCGGAATTCGTGCCAACAACCCCGAAAATCATGTGATCTCTCAATTCCGGCTCCCACGAGATTCAATCGTTTTGCTTTTAAAACACCACCCCTCCAATTAATTGAGATACGTAGCCGGCAACAATGTTTTGTGGGAAAGAATTCTAAGAATCAAAAAAGCTATATTTTTGATGACCCATGGGGTGACGGGGCCGCTCGACGACACCGCCAAAGTCTGTGCCCTATCGGCCGCCCAATTTTTGTCCGTTTTTCTTTTGGCGAAACCTATCAAATCAGGTAGAGACTGGAGAGTGGGCGGAAGAGGAGTGAGTTGAGGGGATTCTGTTTTCGTCTCTCTAGTTGGGGGGATAAGAACCACTTTTTGCTCTGGTAAATAACTTTTAAAATAGCCTAATGGTTGATCGGAGGTTTTTGGAGATTTGGATTTAGGGGAAACTATCGAATTCATGGTTTAAAAATCTGTAAAAATTGAATCCAATACTTTTAAAGTTGTCAAAAGTGTGTAAATTGATTCTATTTTTGCCTTTGCAGTAGGGGAGGGTAGAAGAGTAACATGCGATCCCAGCATAACTAAAAATAGCAAAATTCCGGCGCAAAAATTCCCCCCAGATTGTTGGGTGTAAAAACAAAAGACGCCCATGGATGCGTTCCTGTTCTCAGCATGAGAGCAGGCAGAGAGATTTTGATGCCAACGGCATGCCGGCAGGGTGGCACTCGGAAATAAATCGCCGGCTGCCCCTCCGGGGCGTTACAACACGTGCCGCCGCTGGACTTTCTCCTTTGGAGAATTTGGCGCCCCTGGTTTCGCCTTGTTAATGAGTGGAATTAATTTGGTTATAATTTATTTTAATCCAAAATCAAAATTATGGTTAGCCCGCGAGATTATTCTGATGAATATCCGGATTTTGGCATTTGCTAAGTTGAACGGTTTCCTAGGTAAAGTTCTTTTTAAAAACCCATTTTATCCTCCTTGAGCCTGCTTAGTTCCTACATCTTTCCATAATCCAGGGAACACTCATATGCCTAACTCGTGGTTTCCATTTCTCCCTCTCTTGAGCTGAGGGTGGAGGGAGGGGGTAGACTAGATGGAATATGAACCTCGGCTTGAGGGTGGGTGAGCGCCAAAAGAAGGGCGGTCGTATCAGATTTCGGTTGATGGAGGGTATTAGCTAGGCAATTCCCACGAGACTATTTGGATCTTTGGCACTTTTAAATATTTAGAGACGATTAATCTTTTTTAAATCATAAACTAATTAATTATTACTAATTCTGAATAGTAGGAAACGTTGTGACAGTTAAAGACAGGCCCTTTGTATTTATTTCCGAATATACCTACTTAAAAACCAGTATAGTCCAAAACCCGTCGAGATAAATGGAGTTCCTGTAATCCACCGAACCTTGCTGGCCTTTCTCGGCGGCGGATCGTTCTCATAGCATGCCGCGTTGTTGTTGTTGTTCAGGAATTTTGCCGGATGCGACGATTTGCGAAAAACCGGCTCCGTCGTAAGACCTGGAAGTGTCGGTTGCATCGTGGATTACATGAGCCCTTTACTCTGCCCCCTTCTATCTGCATTCAGGGACCTCTTATTCTCGTTCATTAGGTCTCAAAAATAAGCCAAATCAGCGCCGCCTTGCCCAGCCGTCGGCATTTCAGCCAAAAAGGAGGGGGAGTGGACGGGGATTGGATGGGACATCGTGCCAAACACGAGGCAAATATTGGCTCGACCAAATAATAACCGGAAATAGGTGCCAATTTTCGTCTAGAGCACCGAGCGAATCGAGTAGTAAAGGTAGGGGTTTGGGTTTCTGGGAATTTGCATTGTTTCTATTTGCAGTCCTGGCCTAGGTATCCCTGAAAACAAACCTGTTCCGACTTGAGGTAGTGAGTTCCGCCTCAGCTCCACGAGGCTCATAGAAGCCTAGAATAAACCACATTTGCAGAAGATCCAAAAATTTAGCGAAAACACGAAAGTAATGAAATCGGTTTTGAGTGCTGGTGCGCAAAAGTGGTTGGGATGGTGGTGGAGGGCCCATTCTTTGTGCGAGCGAGCGGAGAATTGTTTTCAATTTGGCACCGGGAAGTGGTGGGCAAAAGGGAGGAGGTTGTGTCCGGGAAAGCTAGAAGAAGGCCTCTCCTCTTCCCCTAGTATGGCAAAGAAGAGGAGCACGAAGGAAAAAAAAAAGATAGAAGAGGTGGAGGGTAGGAAGGAAGCAATAGGGGGAATCTGCCATAACATGCACAGGGCTCTTCTCCACCCTTTCCACATTTGGGGCTCCTCCCTCGTTATGGACCCGGAAAAACTGGCGGTGTGGGGGGGGGGGGGGGGGGCTTCAGAGAAAGCTTTTCGTTTTGGAACTGACAGCTGGAGGGGCAATGAAAGCGAAATCTCATAACCAGATACTAGGGGTGTAAAACGAATAATTAAATATATTTAGCTTTAAAAGTCTTTTGCTTTTTAGGAGATTATGAAAACTTAGCAAACGTTCTTGAACTCCTTATAGGGATGAGGAAGGCCCACGTAGATTAGTGCCCAACTACTATTGGCAAATTGCCCACAAAAAAGCCAATGCAAAATTCGAAGTAGAGGGTGGGAGCAGGCGAAAGCGAGCGGAGATGATTTATGCAACTTTTGAAGTTAAAACCGGCTTTATTCTTAATTTAACCGGGCCTTTCTGATGACCTTAAGTTTTAATACAAAAAATAATCAATTCATGGTTTTATCAATCCGTAAATTACCGCAAATTAAGGGCCACTTGCAAACCAATTTTCCCCAACCACATAATATCTTATTCCCTCGGTTCTTGCAAAGATAGGCAATCCCTTTCGAGATATGTTGTTGCCATGGGTCAGCCCCCCGAAGTCGGTGTGTCCATCCCCTGCCGGACACACGAAGCCCATATATTATCGATTCTGGGCCGTGTCCAGCCTCGAAAAGGCGTCGGGGGCCCTTGGTTCGTCGGACAAGTCGCAGCCAACGGCTATTTCTGCTCCACACAAAGCACGAAAAGACCCTAATTGGTGCTTGGCCCTTCGACAGCCTTCATGGACGTCGTTCCGCCCAGTGGTTCTTCTGGAAGTGGAGGGTGGGGGCATCGAATCTTATTAGTACCACGACTAAACAACTGTGTTTTGGTCATGGGGGTGGCGGTTTCAGAGGTCAACTTGGGCAATCTCAGGTTTCCACACTAGAAAAACCTGGTGTTACGCTAATTACGGCCGGAATTCGATTTCAACGCTCTAGCCTTGTCCTTTTTGCCTAGGAAAAACAATGTTGAAGCCAGAAAACAGATAATCAGGAACTGACGACAAAGCTATTTAGGGAAGCAATCAACACCTTAAAAGAATTGATTTTGGCGAAAAAGCCTGGCGAGAATATAAAAAAAAACCCAAAGACACCTGGTCGCCAAGGATTCGCCAACCAAAAAGCAAAAAGGCTTCCATTCTTCTAACATTCGTATGGAAGCCTAACGGGGGGGGGGTAAGGCAAGGGAGTGGCTCTCGGGCCCAAATCTGGACGGAAAACAGCGCTTTTTAGACAGCACCCGCAAAAAAGAGCTGCTGCTTCACCGGGAATGGTCGCAACAAGAAAGAAAGGCCAACAATATCTCCTCCAGGCTGCCACTCGCAACCCCAAAAATTCCCGAGGGAACCTGGATTTGAAGGGGGAGGATATGGCTTGGGGACAGGCATCCAGCACGAAATATGGACAACAATTTCCAATTCTAGTTCTTTTTCGGGGCCGTCGAAAGCAATAAATTTCCGGTCCCTAAAAATGCCTAGGTGAAATATAGATTGAGCCTGTTAAGAGAGTAACAACATCTGAAAAAAAATTGCACCAGGAATTTTTTTAGGCATTAGAGGGTAAATATGTTGCGACACATCGCCGACACGCAATTCAAAAATAGGCACCCCGCCCCGATGTGTGGAGGGTCTTATCCGGGGGTAAAAAGTCGAAAAAACTGAGGGTTAACAAGGCGATAAGCTAAGGAATTACCGGGTGCCGGCACAACAAGAATGACGATCCGGCGCCAGTTACCCTCCGGAAAACAAGTCGGAAACAGGGTAACCAGAGAGAAAGAGAGAGGACCCCGTTGGAATACGTTGCGCACAAAAATTTCGATTTAGGGTGGAGGGGAGCGGAATTGAAAAAGGCTGAAAAAGTTTGGTTGCTGTGACCAGTGACGAATTGATAAGCTGCAGTGAGGGTCATGAGAGAGGGTGATGACGACTGCCAAATAAAAAAATGGGCAATCTGGAAATGCTTTGGTTGCGTCGGACCGTGTTTGGTGGACACGACCAGAAAGCATTTTGACGACGGAAAGGATTACTATTTAGGGTAATCCTCTGGCTTGCCGGGGTGCCACGAACTGCATATGAAAGCCGAAAAACCCGAGTCGAAAAGTCATATTTCCAGAGATGGCCGGGTCGCCAACCACAACGCATTCATAGTTTTCGAAAATCGCCAGTGGATACAAGTGCTGTTTTAGATGAGGAGCTTTGCCTAGTCGTCCAAAAAGCTGGGGATAAGCATGGGTTTATGGATTAGTGTGTACAAAACCAAATCCCTTCATAAGCCCCTCAAAGCTGTGGCTTAAGTGTTTCGGCCGTCAAAATAGATGTTTTTGAAGGCAACGTGCCAAAATTGGCTAAGAGTAAGCATGGTGAAATACGAGGCTCAAGGGCTGGCTGATTTGATAAGGAGATGATGAAATGGGTTGCTCAAGAAAATGGCTGGAGAGAAGGAGGGGAAGGGAGGGCAAACTCAAGGTTAGCTTTATTCAAAGATTTTCGAAAAGAGGAATTTTCCGTGCTTAGGCTTTACTCAAACCCCGAAAAATATTCTTTTCTTTCTTTGCTTTCGAATTTAGTATCGTACTTTCTTAAAAGCCTTAAAATTTTAGAGCAACTTGCGGAATTCAAGGCAATCGTCACTTTTTACTTCTCAAAAATTAAAGGCTAAGTGCCTAGAATCGGTGGGCGGTTCCTGGAAAGACGGCCAAAAGAGAACCAGTCCGGAAAACACGCACACATGGCCCAGATTCGATTTTGAAGGGGGGCAAAGCCAGAAGGGCTACTAGAAGGGGGGCGGCCGGAATTCTATTCGACTGAATAGAGATCCGTGTCAGCCACCCCGGAATGCCAGCATTCGTCGACAACTCGATGGGCTGACACTGGGGGGCCAAGGCCGTTCAGCCATCCATTCCGCCATCCAACCGACTCGCCTTTTCCAACAATAACCCCGGCGCGTGCCAAACCCAAAAGTTTCCACTGGGTCGCCCCGGCCCCGAGAATATCTGGTGTCAACCGGGGCAACAAACACAAAAAAGCGTAGCGGTGAACCCGCGAAATGATAACAATTCTACATGAAATGATCAGTGCCGAACTGTTTTTTAGTCGGAAAAGGTGAAGCCAAAAGAAAAACGCCCTGGCTCATGTGTTTAAAAAATGGAAGGAGACAACCTAGCAATTGAAAAATCTCTTACATAAGGAAAAATTGTGTTCGTTTGCGCATTTGCAGGTAACTTCCGACGGCATTAAATGGAATTAAATTACATACAAATTATATCCAATTTTTAACGGTAAATCTAACTTTTGAATAAAAGTTCAGGTCACCCCCTTTCGTTAGGGAACAATTAGCATACGCAGAAGTTCGGGGAAGCTGTTTTCAAAAGTCAAAGGACCTGCCTTCTCTTCTTTCTAAATGAGGCTTTTATAAATTGCAGCGCGAGTTATCATAGGCCCAAGACGGGCTCAAGGCTGAAAATCCGTGAAACTGTTTCTCAAAGCTCGTTCTACCTAAAAATCAACGTAATAAAAGTGTTGCGAATTCCGTAAAAAAACACTCTGACAAATTCCCCTGGACTCGAGCGAAACCTCCTAATCAGCCAGTCCACACGACACCATGCATCGAATTCACGACCTTCGCGGGACACCGGCACGTAACCCCCCGTTAAAATTCATAGAGTTTCAAGATAACATTTAACTGGGGAAACGGACCGCTACTTTGCGGGAAGTAATTCGCAAAACTGGCGTCTGTTGACCCGAGGGCAGGTTGGTGGATGCGAGAAAAAAACTTTATCACCTGGAAGGTCTGGTGCGAGCCCGACCCGCCTCATTCCGCCCGCAAATTATCGATAGGAGAGGTGGCTCAGAACAAGGGAGGGGTTAAAGGGGAAAGAGAGCAGGGAGGAGGGCTGTTCCAGATCGCATACGAATCTATCTTTCCCATCCCATGTCCCGGTATCACCCGGTAAAGCGGCGAACGAAAGGTTCAAACCCCCGGAAATAAAAGGCGAAACGGCGCGATGATATCATTCAGAGATTAGCGTTTAAGCGCCCATTAATGACCAGGACTTGTAATTATACAGCATAAGGTAACGCAAAATAAAACGGATAGAAGGGCCCAAACCCTTTACCTATGAGCAAAATATGCCCTTTCCGGATAGACCTAATCCCTTCTAGTCCGAGCCCATAACCAACGACGACAAACCCTATCCCCCAAATTATACTTGTCCGCTCCTAAATTGC